CTACCTTTGTACAAGGTTTTACTATTGTAATTAAATTTCTTAATAAAATAATAAAAATAACAATTATATTTAAAATGAGTTATAAATAAGTGCTTCATGTACATGTAGACGTTTATTTTGTCTTGGTGTGTACATGTGTGCCACATGCCTATAATCACGTTATATGTATGTGTGTGTATGTATATGTATGTATGTATGTATGTATATACTGTGTTTCTCTGAAAATAAGACACAGTCTTATTTTTTTTTTGACCCCTGAAATATGGCCTTGGCCTTATTTTGGAGCCAGGCTCTTTGGAAGCCCACTCACAAGAGAGCAGCTGCCCAGCAATGCCCCCCTACAGCCGGGCAGAGCGCCACTTAGTGACCTAGTGGTATCCCAAAGGCACAAGCCACATGAGCAGGGGGAGGGGAAACCGGTGCTTGTGCGGCTTGGCATCTTCAGGATACCACTGGGTTGATGAGTGGTGGTCTGTCCAGCTGGAGGGGGTGGTTGTGTGAGTGCCTTTTTCCCCTGCTCACGCGCCTCCCAATCCTCACCACGATCTGGGCCAACTCTCCCTGCAGGGCCAGTGCCCACGCCACCATCCCAACACTGAGGATGACTTCTTCTGAGAGGCAGGTCGGGCCAGCCGCTTGCTGCCAAGTCTTCCAGGAGCTGGGGTAGAGTGTTCCGGAAGTGGCTGTTCTGGGAGTGCACTTCCCGCTCTATGGTTGTGGTCTGGCTGCCAGAAGACTCTCTGCCCTGGCTACTGGAAGAGGCCTGGGAGGTGTGTGAGTGTGTGGGGGGGGGCAGGCACTTGCGCAACCCCTCCAGTGGGGTTTTCCCTGCCCCCTGCTCACGCAGTTTGGCACATTCAGGATACTGCTGGGTCGGTGAGTGGCGCTCTGCCCGGCTGGCTGGGTGTGTGTCCACTGGGCTTATTTTCAAGGAAGGGCATTTATTTTTGCCCACCCCAAAAATCTGGCATGGCCTTATTTTCAGGACATGTCATATTCTTGGGGAAACACAGTAGGAACACAACATTTTGTTTTACAGTGACATACAGTGACATAATTTTGGAGCAGACTGATTTTTCTTGATCTTTTTATGGAGTGTGCCAAACTCTAATCCAGCACTTTCTCTACCTGCCAGCATCTAGCCATACATTTAATTTGATAAGAAAAAATTAACCTCTTTACTTTGAGAAAAACAAAGTAATAACAAAGTAATAAAGTATGGGAAAATGTATTTATGACCAAAGTGAAAATAGTAATTTAATAAAAAGCTTTCTTTGTGGTCATTGAAATGCACTTTAACATTTCTGTAAATATATCATGCAGTGGTAGCAAGATTACATAGGCATATGGATGCATAAGACCATAAAGAACAAAAGTTTTCTGACATCAATTTACTTTTTCTGACTATCTGTTCCTTACAGTTGCATGGCAGCTATTCCCTATAGAATATAAAAACATGAAGCTCTTAAAATGTCATTTTAAATTAAAGCCAGTATGTTTCAATTGACTAATTTATTTATATTCTTGATGTAATTTTCAAAAGTGAGTTGACAGTTTAGCTGTGCATTTCTTTTTCCATCAAGAAAGTAACTGATGGGACTTTATTCAGCAGCAAGTGGATATTTTTGCTATGCATAGCTTTTTAAAAAATGATTTGGACTACATATAGGGTAGGAATACTATTTATTATTTCATACCAGCTCAAGAAAACTTCAGAACTCTTTTCTGTTCAGTCTGGGATTCCTGTCATTTCTCTATTTTTGCACTCCATTTCAAACTACTAATATGCTGTTCATTTTATTTACCTTGTTTTATTGTTAATTTTTTTAAAAATCTATTAAAATTTTAACAGGAGATATTGTATAATTCTGTTGTAATGGAAAATGAAATTAGAGGCCCATAAAGAAAATAAAATGTAAAGATAAGACAGAGGCATCATAATGCATCAGCTGTTATTTATATTTTTATTGAGTCTAATTCTTTATGGAGTAACTTATTTATGATTTTAATCCATATAGTGTCCCATTTCAAATACATGAATTTGGGAAATTTACAACAATTCAAAACAAAACAAAAAACATACCATATAAAAACTTATTGTAATGGGTTGTTTTCATGTAGAGAGAGATGTTTCTAAAATAAAAATCTAACCACAAATGTGGAGTCTCTCTGAGTGCTCTCTGAGCTTGGTTGTTTATTTGTAGATGTTCTGTTACCCCACTAGGTAACATCTCAGTGCTAGAGTTGTAGATGTTACCCATTCCAGTAACAATGGTCTGTAAGCAAACAACAGAACTCAGAGAACACCAAGGACTCCACAGCTTAACCCTGAGCTACATATATTCTCTTCTAAACACCAATGTGGTTTTGTATCTCCAAAGGTTCATGTAGTTAAAATAGCAAAATAGTCTCCAAAACTAGATAAACAATATTTGCTTGGATTTTGCCAGTTTAGGTTTTTCCCCTTTATGTTCTCCTTGTGATATTTAGTTATAATTGCATGCATAGATAAAACATGAAAATAAATGAATAATTTAGGGTGTTATATTACTTTAAAGTTTTATTTTCTGCTTTTGTCTTTTCAGTTTGAGTATCTTGCTTTTAGACTTTTAAGAGTTGATGGACTAGGGTGTTATTATATATATATATGAATTAGAAATGCAAATACATAAAAACCTAATATTGATAGTGAATTCGTCCAATAAATACTAAGAGGGGTATTAAAGCAGTCCTCTTCTAAGCTCTGGGCATAAGACCTTGAAATAAAGTTGTAGATAAACAGGATTAGAAAAACGTTTGAAATTTTATTTGCCACATTAAAAAAAAACCTAATTGTAATAATATTGTACAGAAGAGTTAACCACATTCAAGCTTGAGAAATCCAATGTCTATCTACTCTGATTTTTGATATTCAACCTAAATCCTATTTGTGGAGAAGAGACTGACAGTATGTTGGTCATGGTGGGAATATAGAAGGCTATGAAATATTAATATTGTGTTATGATTTTAATTAACATGAAATATGTGTATTAATAATAGCGAAGGAGCAGATGCTGTTATTTGTATTCATGTGTATATTGTGTTTTAGTTGTTTGATGTTTCTTTGATATTAGTGAAAATTTTGTAAAGAAAGCCTATTCAATTGTGAAATTTAAATTCTTGATGACTGTTTCAAATTATAATGATTAAGGAGGGGGCTACATCTCTCTCCAGATTAACTGTTAAAAATGTCTTTCATGCATAGCTGTCATTGGGTAGACATATTTAATACTGTACAGTGAACTATTGAGCATAATATAATAGCAAGTGTAACATTTAATGACTCATTAAGCAACAAGGTCCTTTATAAGATAAATTTAATACGAAGATTGACACACTGTTCCATTTTGCAAAAATAAAGCATTTTGTTCTCAGGATAATCAGTTACATACATACATACATACATACATACATACATACATACATACATACATACATACATACAACCATCTAGCTGTAAAATTCTAGTGTGAACAGGCTAAACATTAATTGTATATTCTGCTGGTCCATTTGTAAAAATGTGCTATGTAAGAGGTATAACCAAAATTGATGATAAGGACAAATTCTTTCCCTTGTAATGCTGGTACTATATTATGGAGCACTGCATAGTTCGGCAAAATATTTTTTATGGCTGTAAGTGTCTCTTTATGGGAAGGCAATAAGCAGAAATCACCTTACTTTCCCCACCCTCCAATTTGTTCAGTTTCATCCCACCAATGCTTGATCCAGTTCAGTAATCATGTAGCAGTTCGAACTATGGTCTCTTTATATGTATATTATTATGCATTAGCATAATATTTTAGGTTTATCCTATTTTAGGTTTGTTTTTGTGTTGGTGGTAAAAAACATCATAGGTTGTTTTCCTTATTTTTAATCAATATAAAAATATGTGTTAATATATTGCAAATCCTTGTTCAATACAACATTTTATTACTAAAAACTAAAATCTTATATAATTAAAGGAATTTTTTAGGAAACAGAGAGCACACTGTGTTTTAATGATGTATTCCTTTAATCTGAAATTACTATTTTCAGGTACAACTGAAAACCAGCTTTTCAAGTCAGTACATAATTCGTACCCAGCCCACAAATGCATGCCTGTCTACACTTGAATGTGCCGCTATTGCCCTAGCCATCGTGGAAAAAAATGATGCAATTAAAGAGGTAGGTAATTTTAAAGTCATGTACACTACTAATGGAATAACCAAATGCAATCTATGCTTCTTTTTTTAAAACCAGGCTGTTTTACTGACCAAGTTTCAAATTTTTCACTCCATCTTTTCTTAAATCTTCCTAATTAAGAGCTGAAATACATTAAGTTTAAAAACTTGGCAGGAAGAAATGTCATTCTCCTGTTGTTGTTTTTCCTACACCACCTATTCTTACATTAATCTTGCCACTCCTTTTCATGTGGTTCATCCCACTTCTTTGACAAACCTTCTAGAAAACTTCTTTTTCAACATTGGGTACTGTTTGTCCACTATGGCACAAAGTACATAAAATCAATTTCCTTGATTTTTCACTGTCATTTTGTTAGCTAAATAAGGGTGTGTGTGTGTTGGTGGCTAGTGAAGTCAAGGAAATTTTGGAAATATTTCAAAGAAAGAGTCAGTGATGTGTCTTTATACCTAGCAGTAAGACACTTGATTTGTTAGTTTTGTTGCATAACTTTGTTTGCATTTTTTTCAGCAATTATCAAAGTTATGGTGGCACTGGACCATGACCAAATTAGGGTGACAAATGGACTATGAGTGGTTTCTGAATAAACAAACATTGCAGCACTCCCAGTCACATGATTGTGATCTGGGCACATGGGAACTCAACTCACAACTATATTATAGGAATCTGTAGTCACATGATTACACTTTGTGACTTTCCCTGCTGGCTTTTCACAAGCTAAGTCAAAGGGGAAGCAGGTGGGGGAAGCTTGCAGGTCACTCCAGTAAGTCATTTCCACCAGCAGCACCTCTCTGCTCATGACCTCCATCAGATTTCCCAAGACCTCTACCAGTCTGTGCTGGCCCTCGTACTATTTCCCACCACCGTCTATGGCACTCCCATATCTGGGACCAACATCATTTCCCCCTTAAGACTTCACGTGTCTCGGGCATAATAGCAACTGTGACTGGTAAGATTGCCATCAATAAGTGATACAATCATGTGATATCACAATTTACAACGGCATTGCTGAGAAATGGAAATTTCCATCCCAGTTGCCATTATAACTTGAGGAAGCTTGAATTTTCACCTTTTAATCCATATTATGTGGATGTGCAGGTTTGAATAAATATAGAAATATATGTTAAACGTAAGCCTCATTAAATACATTGCATAGATATCATGTGATCATATATATGTGGGATATTATCAAGTTCAGTTTAGCAGAAGTGCATTTTTTTCTCCATGTAGATTACAGCTTTAGTTTAAGGTTGGCAGATTTCTGCAGCTGAATGAATTTTCAGTTGAGCAGATATAAGAGGAAGGAGAGAAAGAAAGCAGTTATAAGATTTGCAACCTTGTAACAACAACCTAATCTTGTTTCCTTATTCAGAAACATGTCCCTCTCACTTACCGAGGCTTCCAAAAATAGTATTTGAAATTACAGTGTCCTCTGTGCCTCCTTTGCTTTTTAACCACCCTTTTCTTTCATATTTTTCCTTTTCTCTCTTATTTTAGTGTTATTAATTCCTCTTCTAACTCAAAGCTGTGACTGCAGTTCCTTGTGTAACTGCTGCTTAACTAACAATTATGACAAGACTTAGAAATTAGTCCTCTCATCATATATGTGCAAAGGGAGTTTGTGAGGAAAAAGTTAAAAAAAGAAAAATGTAGTTTTCCTTTACCAAGAGATAAGAGAATCAATACGTGACCTTTGTAAAGGAATATTTTTGAATATTTGATGGAATGTACATACCACATGTAGCTTGGATATTTGTTCCTTCACATAGCCATGCTCAGTTTTGAGTAAAAACAACATTGACTATCCTGAATGTTTATAATTTTCTTTTCAAAGAATAGTAGAGGATTCTTGTTATTAAAAACATGTTTGGTATACAATTAAAATACAAGAGTATGGTAAACCTTTTAGAAACAATAGATCATGTTTGTGATCAAGAAAGGAAAGAAGGTAAAAATAAGAGGTATTGGCTAGGATGGAAAACTGCTGAATAATTCTGTCACGTACTACCACGTTTTCAATAGCGGCTGATTAACCTTTCCTAAGTTAAAAAAGGATCTCAAATCCCATATTTTGTCTCCCTGATGACCCCATACTCTCTGTAAATAATAAGTTGGTTGTCAGACAATTGGTGAGGCAACTGATAATGGACAGATCTTGTTGCTCTACCTTCAAATTGATCTCAAAAATATTGATAACTTATTTTGTCCCTGACCAAAGGGATCATTTCTGCCATTTTTGCCATTTTCATACTCCATTCCTCTATGATGGGTATGTCAGTATTTTTCCTTTATTGTGCAAATAATAAACTTGTTGAAGTCACTATATATAAAATCTTCCATATTTTTTTTTCTAATTCACTATTCATAAATCTTAATAAAAAAAGTTCTGGCTTTTTCCCAATAGTAATCTTTAAAATTATTTGTATCCTAACGTCTGAGTGAATCCAGGAAGTGGGAAGAGGCAGAGGGCTGGAAGTGTGTGTGCTGGGCACAGGCTGTGGGTTTTAAAAATGTCTTGTGTGTGCACAGGCTGTGAATTTTAAAAACATCTGAGTGAATCCAGGAAGAGGGAAGAGGCAGAGGGGCTGGAAGTGTGTGTGTAAGGTGGTCAGTAATATTGAAGACTGGCAAGGACAGCCATATTTCCTCTGTAAGTAGCTCTTTTATTGTTTTGTGTACTTATTTTATTCTTATTTAAGTAGTAAGTGCACAAAATAATAAAATTTCCTTTTTTATATCTTCTTTTTGTAGGTCATTCTTTGAGGCAAAGAATTCAGTGACATCTCATTGGTCACTGCCACCCAGTCACATGAGTCCCAAGCTACTCCCACCCGGTCACATAATTGCCAAGGCACTACCACTCAGTCACATGACTGCCAAGCTACTCCCACCTGGTCACATGACCACAAAGCCACTCCCACAAAACAGGTCACATCTACAGAATAGGTTCTAAAATTTTTTGAAACCCATCACTGGTCCGCAGGTACATAAAAAGGTACATCCTTTTATAAAAAATGTTTCTTAAATTATAGTATGATATGAATTTCAACCCATTCATCCACATTCTCTCCCATTTAACTGTCTGCATATTATAATGAAAATGAATTGCCCATTTTATCATACAATCTTTAACCTGTTCCTCTTCCATTCAAATTTTAACGAAGCTTTATACATTTTACAGGCACATGTTCATCATTTCTATATAATTCAGTTCAAATTTCATTTTATATATTCCAGTAATATTTCATCTACATTAAATCTTTTTTTTAAATGTGCAGATGAAAACCTTTGAAAATTAATTTAATTGTTCTCACGGCATTATCTGAATTTTTCCACTCTCCTGTACTGATAAATCTTGATATGTTAAGCAGTTTCTTTTCTATAAAATGCTTCCTATACTGAAAGCCATGAGGTATTTTCGAGCATAGCCCTTATTTGTATTTATTCCATGTTAATATGGTACTTTCTATATAATGTTTTTTCTACATTAATTTTAACTTTGAAGGCCATAAAAACTAATGCCACCCAAATATCAGGTTATATTCTTCCAATTCTTACATTATTTTATGAGCAACAATCATTTTTTCATCCAAACCAAGCAGCAGGCTGCAAAATATAATTTAAAATAAGGAATCCTAATCCTCTTTTCTTCTGCATATTCAAGAATTTTACATTTAATCCTTTATTTTTTCCACTGCCATATACATTTGGACACATCTTTTTTCCACTACTTAAAACTGTATCATATTTCAAAAAAGGTATTTTTAAAAAATAAAAACAACATTCTAGAAAATACTTGCACTTTCACTACATAAATTCTTCATAATTGTATTTTCCCATCTTAAAAATTCTCTCATAATTTCATTCCATACATTGATATAATTATTTTGAAATAATATACCATTCATATTAATTATGGTAATACCCAAATATTCTACTTTTTTCTCTATCAAATTAGTTTTACCAACTCTTTTTGATATTCCATTTGTATTATTATTTATTATTAACTTATTTCATTTCTCTTTAATTTAAATAGAAGCCAATTCTTTTAGCTTTTCCATTCATATATTTATTACTTTTAATTATTCTGAATTTAATTATTCTAAATTATATGCAAATTTTTATACCACTCTATAACCTTCACCCAAGCTACTTTTTCATATTGTTTGATGTATCTAAGCCATGGTGGCCCAGTGATTAGAATACAGTATTGCAGGCTAATTCTGCTGACTGCCAGTGATTCAATCTTCACCAGCTCAACGTTGACTCAGAATTCCATCCTTCTGAGGTCGAGAAAATGAGGACCCAGATTGTTGGGGACAATATGCTGACTATGTAAACTGCTTAGAGTTGGCTGTAAAGCATTGTAAGCATTTCAAGAACTAAAATGAACAGCTGTGGCAGAAATGGAGCGCCTCGAGTTGTCTTTTTGTGTTTGCTACAGGATCTAGTCCATTGACTGTAATTTGTGCTGTTTGTGTATAGAGATCTCACCCACTTAATAATACTTTTTCCAAATTTCATATTTTCCAAAATTAAATAGAAAAGTCTAGTTCAAATTGCGAATGGCTTTCCTTACATCAATAAAGATGAACACATCTTGTTTTCCATTATGGTGTTCTAAAATATTTTAATATAATAAAATTATATTTTTGATATCTGTCAACTGGCTTTTGGGTAAGAAACTACATTGCTTATCATGCATAAAATCCTGCAGAATAGTTTTCATCCTTTTGATTAAAATGATGCTAAATATAATCATTTTTCAATAATGATATTGGTCAGTCTTTTGGGGGGTAAAGAAGTGGGTAATCAAAGGTAACCGGCACCCAACTGGAAAATGACACTGCAGAAAGGAACACAAAATTATCTTGGTTGATCGAAAAAAAACCTGAATGCAGTGACAAATAACTTCAATATTATTGCCAGGAAAAATGCATGATGTAACAATGTGTCATTAGGTGTTTTACTCAGGGGAATCTACTCCTTTCTATCTCCTTACACTCTTTACAGAGACAATTTTGTACTTTCAAGATTTATAATTGTGTCACCAAAAATAATGTCTTTCCTATAATTAACATTATGGAATAGTGGTAGTGGAAAACATGTTGTATACAATAGATTCTTTGCCCCCAAACTTCTCATTGTCCTGTTTTCTCTTAATTTACTATTTCTAGTTTATTTAGCAAGAAATAGTAGTGGAAGCTAAACTCATTCTTATTAGTGACATAGTACTAAGCAGTTCAGCATGTAAACCAACAGAGAAAAGTGTGAAACTGAGATTGTAACAGCTTTTAAAATCATGCTTGAAACTGCTTCACTGACTTTTTTTAAAAAACGGACATATTCCATAGCCTCAAGCAAAAAAAAATATAGATTAATATCACTTCCAAGTAAATATACTCAGAAGCAAGGTATTTATTTCACTTCATGCAACTAAAGGCCTATGTAATTTATGTCTAGCTCTAAGTTTTCTTTTCTTTTTTCTCTTTCTTTCCAATCAGACTGTACTTCGTCCTCTTCAAGCTCTTTGTGCTTTCCAGATCCAGCATGGTGCCCAGGTCCATCACAGCAAGGAGCATCTTCTTAAAAATGGTTTATATGACAAACCAATGCCAAAAAATAAACGCAAGCTCAGGAGAATGGAACTTTTAGTGAATAATGTTAAAATTTAGGGGTGTCATATAGATTTATTATGAAAGATTTTTATTCCTTTTAGCTAATGAAGTGGAGTTAATTATGGATTTGATCCAAATAAAAGTATCCTAAAATGAAACACATTCACCTGGCTCCCTGCCCAGAATTCAAGACTGATATAAAGGCAAAATGCCCGGGAAGCTTTTCGAATTTCTGTCTGAATTTTTCATGATAATGATGAAGCTGAAGCAAGAAGGAACATACATTTCTTCGGTGTTTCATTGTGACTTAAATTAAACCATAATTTGAATGTTTTCTCCTTAATTTCTTATTAAAGTGGAGATGTGTAGTATTAATATTGATATGGCAGGTGGATATTGGTACTGTAAGTCATGGAAATCCTAGTAGACATAAGAATCTAGAATTCCTGTTTTTTCAATAGTTAATAAACCTGTGTTGAAATAAGTGTATTTTGGGGGCTAGGTTTTCCTATTCATTAAAGCCTGGCAAAAAATAGACATTCCAATCTTAAAACAACAAGCAAACAAAGAGTATGAGAACACTCCTCTTTCTATGAGATTGCAAACAGACCATGGCATGAAAGCACAGATTTTATTATGGTGATTACATTCTACTTTTTCTAGATAGCATTGTTGTGTTTATGTCAAAAATTATATTTTTATATGAATAGTGCATTTTTCTCCAATTTAAGAGCTATTGTTAAAGATTGAAGATGAAAAATTAAAGATTGAAGATGAAAAATAATGTCTTGAGTCAGTATTGTATATCTATCCATATAGTTTGTCCAGAAAGAAATGAAATCAATATTTCTGAAATTATAAATTGCAAGTAAAAACTGCTAATTTGGACATTGCTATTGTATCAAGATCTACAAGAAACATGGATAATTGGGAAGTTTCTAGCAATTAGGTATTGTTTGTATTGATGAGAATGGTACCATTTATTTTTCCTTATTTCAGACTCAGTACCACATACATTATTTTATCCTGATATTTGTCTTCATTATCATGAAGGCTACTTTTTTTGTAAGAATATTTAAGTTTCTTAAAGGAAGAGAAAATTTTGTACTTTAGAAGTGAGCCAACTAATAAGCATCTTGGAACATCAGAATTTTGTAAGTTCCAGCCAGTCAAACTTTTTCTTTAGACTTATGAGATGTAACCACAAGCTCTCTCACAGTAGATGAATGATTGGCATCACCAATAAACCTCCAAGCAGTCTATTCACAAGGTTAGGGAATGTATTCATGATAATTGCAGCAAATATTTCTGTTATATTAAATATTTCTGCAATTGAAACTCTAGGTCACCAATGTAATCCCCATGCTCACAGATGCTTCCACTGACACCCATCAAGTCCTAATTTTAACTGATTTTGATTTATACTCTTTAAAACTTAAATTAAATGCAAAAATGGTACTTCCTAATACCAATTTTCAACTTTAAATTTATTTCCAAGAATATTGCTGGTTCCAAAAAATGATATGTAGACATTGCAAGAAATTAAAAATTGTGGTAGCTGCAATCCACTGCTTGCAACTTTGCCTATATGTTCTGGGGAAAAAAAAACATTCTGAGTAATGGAAAGAATCAGTTGGAAAAAGTAAGCACAGCATGGAATGGCCTCATCAGTTTGTTCGCTGCTAGTTATGTTTTAAACAATCTTAAAAGAAAAATCAGGAAATGTTTTCAGAAGTTGAAATGTATTTACTGGTCCCAAAATATTGGAAACCCTAACACTATAGGGACTAATCAATGAATCATACTTTTTAATATTTCAAAAATCAGTGGATATATTTGCCTGCATTTTGTCTGAAGATTTTGGTTCATATAGAAGAATATGAAGCATAAAACTAGTTAGACCAGCTGCTTTTATTGAAGATATTGGATCTTTTAAATACATTTTAATAGTGTGTTTAACATACTACTAATACTTGGAAGACAAGCTGTGATACTTTCTATATTGAGCTGCCACTAAAAGCAAATTCAGAATTTAAGTAGAGGTAAAATTATACAAATTGCATTGATTTTGTGATTTCCAGATTGCATATTACACTTTGTTTTCAATCTTTTAAAGCTCAAAATAGTTTGTGGAAAAGTTGCTAATATTATCTCCATCTTGATAAATCATAACGTATGTCACTAAATTCCATTCAATAATGTTTTTTTCAAAAATATGGGTATGGGTATGATTATGTATATTTTAAAGAATGGTTATATGTTTTTAGGAGCCGAGGTGGCACAGTGGTTAGGGTGCAGTACTGCAGGCCACTTCAGCTGACTGTTATCTGCAGTTCAGTGGTTCAAATCTCACCGGCTCAAGGTTGACTCAGCCTTCCATCCTTCTGAGGTGGGTGAAATGAGGACCCAGACTGTGGGGGCAATTTGCTGACTCAATTTGCTAAAAATCTGTAAACCGCTTAGAGAGGGCTGAAAGCCCTATGAAGCGGTATATAAGTCAAATAAATAAATAAATAAATCTGGTGAAGAAGCTTATGTACAAAAGGATCTCCTGCACTTTTCCTGTAATAAAACTGGTCTTGCGTACCAGTCTGTCTTATGAAACCCCTGCTGTAGCATATCCCAATTGATATGAAGACAAGAATTAAACATCAAGTTCAAATTGAAATTTATCTAATAAGAACCATATAATAATAACAATAGCCTCTTATTCTAGCAGAACTGTTTTGTCAGAAACATTTGAAAAGAGATTATTCACATGAATTCAGAGAGTCTCTTGCATGATATTCTGATTTAAACAGAAGAAAATTATTGTCATTTTCTTAAACAGGAATGCTTGATTAAAGAGTTTAGGGCGCAAAATAAGTTCACAATTTTTTTTCTGCAGGATAGCTGTTCTTAACATTGCTGATTTCTACCTGAAAATATCTAATGCATTATTCAGAAAAGGAAGTAGCAAATGCTGAATGACCCAGGAATTCCAACGTGAAATTATGTTGTAACCAAAACAACTATGTAAAATGCATGATAAGAACTAATGCTCAATTTTAAATTTTAATTGGTTTGGTCTCAAAAGAAAAGCAGAGGCACAGTTAGCATACATTCTTAAAAAGCACTTTGGCATGCTACCTATTAGAGCTATTTTAAGTAACTTGCTCTAAAAAGGAATTCAGGGGAGTGCACTTACTTAACATGTGGTAGCAAGTAGTAACTTGACATGAATAGAAGGGAACAAAGCAAATCTTTATAGAGTTAAGGGTGATTTCCATATTTGGCAGTCAGTGGTGGCGTTTAAGAAAAACCTCATGCTTGGACTATCCAGTTGCTTCTTTATTTCTCTAAAGACATGGATGGTTCTGCTATGGGGAACAATCAAGCAGAAAATAAATTTTACTTAAGAAAGATTATCAGTCCAGTCTCTGGTTTATCCAAGTAGGGTTTGGAGTTGGTATCCATCACTGACGATCAACCTTTCTAAACATTCAGAAATCTGAAATATAAGAAAGAACGAAAATGTCAGTCTTGCTGTATCTGATTCCATCACTGCCACATGCCCTGTTTGGAAAAGAATGAAGTGGCAGCCAAGAAAAGGTTTCCTGCTGGGTTTTTTTAATGGCCTTTTAAAAATCCATCTAATAAAGACAAGTTGATAGTTTCTGTTTTGAAACATATTTTAATGTGCTTTTTTAAATTGAGTGTTACACGTATTTTGAATTCCAACATTCTATTTAATCACTGCATCCTTTTTTAAGACACAGACAGACACAGACACAAATGGTTTATAAAAATGGAAAGACATTTTAAAAATATACAATCCAAAACAATAGTAAAAGAAAGAAGTTGTTTATGTTTTGGGGATTACAAACTACCTTTAGATAACATTATTCATTAAACATTAATATTTTAAAAGTTTTTTAAAAATGAAAATGTTCAGCTGTTGTCAAATGTAATAAAATCTATACCAAAGGGAAATATGTTTCATCAGTTTTTATAATAATGCAGATAAAATTGCCTTTTTAAAAATAGAAAATACACATCTCTTGAACCTAAACCTTAATATCAAGAATAACGATACATTTGTAATTTTTCAAAATAATTTTCTTAGTAATATCTAATATCCAGTATAGCACAATTCATCAAAAATACTCAGATTCTAATATTTGAGTCATAATTGAACATAACAGTAATTTCTTTAACATAAAAAAATATCTTTAGATCTATTTATACGGATATATGTTAAAATAATTCAGAAATATCTCAATAACTTACAAGGTCAAATCATATGATACAATAACTCCTCCACTCAAACGTTTTAGGGAGGCAAAATTCTATTCACAGTTGATCAACATCATTCATCACTCTGTCTGCTTAGAATATGTGTGAATGCGGAATCCTTAGCATTGTTTGGCCTTGTAATGTTTGCTGATTGCTTTCCATTAGTTACTGGTTGGTCTTGGAAGTATTTAAGGAGACTGTTCATAGGCTTTAACAGACTATTATATAATACCTGTAAAAAGTTGGCATTAAATAATTAAATGGGAGTTCAGGTCAAAGAAACTTATCTCTAGTTCATTAAAACATCTCACCCGTATCAGCACAAAGCTGGAAGTTTAATTAGTGTCATTAGAAACTCCAGCTCGCCTCAGTCCAAAATTTAGAGATTATTTGTCTTACATTGTTCTTTACCTGCCAGTAAAATGTTTACAAGTCTTGCCCCATGTGAATATGTCAGAGACTAAGTGCAAGGCCCCTGCATATTTCCTGAAACTTTTAATATAATTCTAGATAGCTTTAGATGATACCCTTTCTGTACAGATAACTATTTCATATTTTTCAAACTGTATATCATTTTGACAAATATCAAATTACCTTTTTTAAAATATCCACTATTTACAAGAAAGACACTGTGTTATGGGTTGCCACATGCAGTAATCAGTGCAAAAGCATATTTAACATATCAGAAAAAGGTAGGTACAAGAGCTACTGAGCATCACAGGATGCATAGGTTTGATAAATGAATAATTTAGTTTAGTAATAAGCATGGCATTTTGACAAAGAAGTCTTTTTTCTTGGCCCTTCAGATTGTGTTAGAAAGCATTTGAAGAAAGAAGTCAGCAGTCCAACTTTTTTCCTGAGCATAATTATATACCGGTACTCTTGGCTTGAGTCTTCGTATGCTATTCTGAAATGATGGGTCCTTGGTGTTCTCTGAACTTGCTTGTTTTATTGTTTTATTTCATTACCTAACTAGGTAACTAGCACTGATGATGTTACCTAATTAGGGTAATGAAACATCTGCAAGAAAACAAGCAAGTTCAGAGAGCACCAAGGACCCCTCAAAACAAGTATTTATCTGCATCTTTAGCTGTCTATGAGAAGAACACACCATGGCTAGTTTAGGTTTTGATGGCTGAACCATGAAAGCTTTATCATGCACATTACTTTAAGTCATAAACCAGGTGTGCTCAATAAAGGCTTTGGAAGCAGCATACCCTACTTCAAGCTTATTTGCCACCAAACTCATTTTTCAGGAAACAGAAGAATCTAAATATTAACATTTAATTCAAATATAAGGTCCCCTGTTTTCTCTCCCCTATTTTTTCTACTCCTTCTAGTCTATGGATCTCAAACTCATTGTGTCACATTGCCGTCACGTGACATTTCGTGACATTTTTCCCTTCGCAGAGCGAGTTGGGTGTGACCTGTGTGTGAAACATCTGGCCCGCATGCCGCCAATTTGATACCTCTGTTCTAGCCCATCTGCTTTGCTAATTTCAGTCCCTAGAATTTCCCTCAAATATGGTGCCATCCTTTAAAGTTCTTTTATAAAATATGAGTTGCAAACTCTTAACGCCTTCAAGCAACATTCTAAACTAAATCCAAGGATGTAATGTAATAATCTGCCTTATGAACCCAACTTGGAACGCTACACACCAGTGTTGAATTTCAACATTGCTGACACATTGTTTGGCTCTTCTTACCAAAGAATTCTGTTAACCATCATTTGTAATAAATAAGAGCAATATAGGATAGGAGAAATTTTTTAAAAAGCGAAGAATTTAAATTCAAATCAGATTATATTTTTGTTTTTGCTTCCTTTAGATATTTTTCCCCATCCATTCAATTCTGGCTTCATCTATTGGCCCTAGTAGGGAATGGTGATATTTACAAAGGAGCAATCACTTTTCCAACATGACAAATACATCACAGCAGTCCAGAGTGTTTGTAAAATTGAAGACATAGCTGAGAAGCAAAGGT